ACAACTCTCTCTCTCTCTCTCTCTCTCTCTCACACACACACACACACACGGTTACTGCATTTATTCAGCATACAGTATAATATTTTGTTTTTTATTGTTTGATACTACTAACTAGAATGTTGTAGGGCACAATGAAAGTGGTCTGAATATTTATATTAGAAACAGCAGACATTTGAAAATTATCTGCTTTATTGATACATTAATTGTTGTTATGTGCCGTCAAGTTGGAACTGACTTATAGTAACCCTAATTGAGCTCTCAAAGTAAGTAAGATACTTAAGGGGTGGTTTTACCAGTTCCACATCCCCAGTGAGTTTCCCTGTTTCAGCAGGTATTCAAACCCAGGCCTCCTGAGTCCTAGTCCAACATTCTATCCACTATACCACATTGAGCATCCACACCAACTGGGTATCCTTTAATTAAGCATTTTAAAAATAATTTATTTTCTAAAGTGAAAAGTACTTGAGAAAGATCATATATAATTAATTTAATCTTAAGTAGGAGTGAGACCAGAGGGACAGCTGAGCATTGGTTCTTTGCACCCCTTGGGACACTTATCTGGAATTAAGCTCAATTGAATTTGATAGGGCCTATTCTAAATAGATAGGCAGATGGCTGCATTGTCAAACACTCTGTATGTTACCTGGTGCTTCCCTACTACACCACCGACACATCTAAAATTGGCAATATACATTTAATAATGAGACGGATGTCCTCTATTGCATTAGAAGCACCTGAATTTCTATCAACACTCATTGATAAACAAGGCACCACTCCCATTCTGCTTCTCCTCAGAGGGATTTGAAAGATAAGGGGATCAAAGGCTCCTGAAATAAGAGACAATACGGGGCTCTACCAGTTACAAGTCCCAGCTCCCCTCCTCAATTATATAGGCTCTGTTAATGATCTAAAGATACCAATTATTTACACTGCCTCTCACAACAGATACGAAGCCATTATGCCTTCTAAAAGATGGAACAGATGGAGATTAAACTTCACAACCTGAAGTGGTAGCAACAAAGGGGAACGAAAGTAATGAGGTTACCTGGAGCAGGTTACAATTTTGAGCAGTGACATTACCAATGGCCATGGAGTCATGAAGAGTTGGACACAATTTAATGACTAAACAACAAATTACCAGTGGCATGACTTTTTAAAAGTAACACCATGGTTTAAATCCTCTTGCCTTACTCTGACATAACACAAATGGCTTAGCTCTTGGAGGCAAATTGCCCCAATTTAATAAGATACTGTATTATTTGTTGCATACTGAGTTGTGTGATTCAGTGCACGATTGATGTTTATGTTGAGTGCTTAACTCAGGGTAATTTGTCTCCAAACGTGATGTGTAGCAACAAAATATTATTTTTGTGATGCCATTGCTTGGGAGGGGTTATGAGTAGCATTTACTTGCTACTGTAAAACATTGCTTGACTACCACAAAAGTTTCTTTTAGAATGACAAGTAAATGCCCCCCCCAAATTCTAGCAATGTCCTTGTGTACCTTTAAAAACTGATTTGCATTTAAGTATTTTTAAAAACATACCTCATAGCTAAGCCACCAATAAAAAGTTGTGACACTCACTATCCACTTCCAATAGTACTGTAATAAGTAACGTGTCACTAATGAAAAAATAGCAGCCCAAGCTCTAGGGGGAATGGAAGAGTTTTGCTATGATTTGGTTTTTTTAAGCTTCTCTACACATATTCTAGGAGGATAATAGGTGGACAAGAAAAATCTAACAGCTATGAGGAGTGTGTAATGTGTAAACATGAGCATACAACACTATTGATTCTCTAACACTCTGATGTTATTTAGTGCAATTCATAGGAACACAGGATCAGCTAAAAACTATACTGTACTATAGAATGGTAGCTAACAGATAGAACACTCATCCATTCATTACAGAATTAAAGTACTGTAGACTTTTCTGACTGCAGGGCAGATAGCTTAAGTACTGATAGTGCAATTTTTAAAAGTACTGTAGTATACACAGTGTTTTGGATCCAAACCTTCTGTAATTAGCTATGAATAGTATCTTAACTAATGTGGTGAAATGTGGTGCTGGAAGAGAGTTTGGTGGATACCCTGGATTGCTGGAAAGACTAACAAGTGGGTCCTAGATCAAATCAAGTCTGAACTACAATATCTCTAGAGGCAGGTATGTTGAAACAGAGGCTGTCCTGCTTTGGGCACATCATGAGAAGGCAAGATTCTCTGGAAAAGACAATAATGCTGGGAAGGGTGGAAGGCAGCAGGAGAAGAGGAAGATCAAATATGAGATGGACTGACTCCCTAAAAGAGACCATGGGCTTGAGTCTGCAAGAGCTGAGCAGGGTAGATGAGGACAGGACAATTTGGAGAGAGCTCATTCATAGGGTCACCATGACTTGGAGGCAATTTGATGGCACATAACAACAAAACACTCCTTTTGTTTCCTTTAGTACACATTTCATGAGGGATGTTGTTAAAGTCCTCCACCCACCTAATTAAACCAGATTTATTCTGCCCCAAACTAGCAGCCAAAATGTTATGTGTGTTTTTGTTTCTATCAAATGTAGTATAACTTTGTATATTTATGAAATATCAAATATCAAAGAAATATTGCTTATTCTGCAGTTTGCCTGTGTCATCAAATAGTACAGAGAAATGAACAAGTAGGCATACATTAAAATGAATATCTAATCTTTAAGAGCATGTTTGAATTACTGCTCTGATGCATCAGAATATAAAGCTAGCTTTAATGTGCACTCTTGATCTCATGGTTTTTAACCAGGCAAATTTTCCACAAAATACTGATGGGAGTTACAAAGGACAAACTAAATTTGCAGGAAGTTGATAGTGAAATAGTGTACACGTTTGAACTTGTTCAAGGAAAGATGCAGTCTACAACCTTATGAAGGCAATGGTAGAATTTTCATTTACTGAAAATCTTTCAGTTGCTTAAAATTTCCAGTTATGTACACTCTCTCTCTCTCTCTCTCTCTCTCTCTCTTCCCCCATACCTCCACACTGTCCCAGGTTTTATTATTCAATATCTGACAATGCAATGACATGAAAAAATGTAGTGGCAGGTACTGTAAGTGCAAGTTAAGCAATTCAAATGTTTAAAAGCAAGTAAGTTGTGTCAATCCACCAGTACAGAAAACCTGACTCTTCTGCACTGTACTGGTAGAAAGGAATTTAGTGCTCTAGTCTCCTACAGCAGTCTGTCCTCTAACAGCCAGAAGAAATATGAAAATATAAAAATTAAACAAGTATTCAGAATTGTGTTTGAAGGAGTTTAAAAATACTTTTCTTTAGATCAATCACATTTTTTAAAAAGAAAATAAAAGCTTTCAAATAAAGAAAGCTCACATGTATAGCATCAGTTTTATGGGGCTACAGGGACAAAGATGTGCAATCTTTAATCAGTACCACACTGACAGATGCTCAAGAACATAATCTGAAAGATATCTGCTTCATTTAATTATACATCCTCTCTTAATGTTACAGTGAAGTGCCTTTGGGAAGTTTAGCAGTAGGGTATAGCATAACCTCCATAAATCTAAATCCAATCACTAGCCCTAAGCAGACCCACTGAATCAACTGCTGAATGATAAGTCAGCTCTTATATATATAACCCATTGATTAAATGGGTCATCTCTAGTCGGCACTAGCTATTGGATTTAAGACATGCTCTTCTGTTTGGTCTCTGTACAATCTAACAATCTGTGCATAAGGCTTCTAGTTATGGAAGTTCCATTTGGCTTGCTTTTACTCATAGTTATTGAAATATGTGCTATGAATTTATCTAATCCTTTTGAGAAAGCTTCTCAAGTTCTGGGACAGGCCAGTTAGTCTGATGCCACCCACCATTCACATCCCATATAATCAACACATAAAAAAACCGGCCATCTCAAGTGGACTCATCAACTCAGCCTACGTGGACCCATGATCTGAATGGACATACAGACAACTCACCCTAGCCAGCAGGGCTATATCGCCAACTTGAGCCTTTGGAAAGCCAAAAACAGACTAATAGGAAGTAAATACCTGGAAAAGGTCACTCTAAGTCGGAAATACTGATACCATGTAAATATTAACGAACTCCACCAGAGCTAGTGTGGTTAGGGTTGCCCGATACACGGGTACTAAAAGGACATAGAAAGATAAAAAGGAGGACAACGGAGGACATATTGAATGTTTCATTTGAATCATTCCAGATTAAACCCACAATCAATACAATTTTATTACAACAGCTGCCAATAAATGTCTCTTAGTGAACTGACCAAGAAACAGTCATGTTAAAAATTAAAAATAAATTCAATGGAGGCTTTTTTTTCCCAAAATACCGGGGATGGGCGGGCAGGTGGGTGTGGGGAAAGCCACCTCTCCCCCTCCCATCCAAAATGATAACATAAAATATACAAAAGCCTGACATTTTAAAGGTTTTTATCTTTGCCTGCCTGAGGGAGGACATTAGGTTAAAAAGGAGGACATGTCCTCCTTTTGCCTGACATCTGGCAACCCTAAGTGTGGTGTGTAGTGAATAAGGGTGACCGACTCAGCTGGCCTGGGTCTGAATCCCTGCTGGGCCATGGAAGCTCAGGTGGGGGAGAGGGGAGGCTTAAATCCTCCCCACACCCCTTAAGTGTCTCATGCACCTTCGGGTGACCGCAAGTGGGGTGTGTGACTTGATGGTGCTTAACAATAACCCCCATGGCGGTCCCTGACGATCATGTCCGCTCCGGGCTATCCCGACCCGGCAGCCTCCCTCAGTCTAAGAGCCTCCTCCGAAGCACAAAGATGTCCCTAAAGCACCGAGGGCGTCCTTCGTCGAGAGCCTTCCGGGGCCCTGAGGAGAAGGCGCGGCGCTGCTCTCCACCGCCCCCAGCCCGCCTTCCCTGGGCTCCCTCCGCTCCGCCTGGGCGAGGGCCGGAGACGAGACCCGGTTGGGTCCCCACCCCACCCCACCCCATCCCACCCACCCTCGTTTCCGTCTCCCCTCTCGGCCAATGAACCAGCCCAGGCGGGCAGGGAAGGGGGAAGAAACGGGCGGTCCAGGCCAGGCCACGTTAGAAGAAGGGGCGGGGGCGGCGGCGGAGTAAAAAGAGGAGGCGACGGCTCGTAGTTTCCCCGGCCGAGGCTTCCCGGCGAGAGAGGAGCGCGGTGTGGTGGGAGCCGACGGGGGATCAGCCATGTGCGGTGAGTTAGCCCTGCACAACGTGGGCATCTTTTCGGAGGTGGGGGCGGTCAGTGGGGACAATGCTTACGTTTCAGCCGTTTTTGAGACACTAGAAGGCGTTCCGCCTGTAATTTTGGGGGACTCTTGTGAAGACTGTGTGTGTGTGTCTGGAGGGGGGGGGGAAAGGAACAATAGTCCTTATTTCCAAATCTGTCAGAAAGGTAAACGTAAGCGAGCTCTTGGCAGCAGGAGGCGGGGGGGGGGACTTCTTGTTTCCCTCGCCGTTCCAGTTTTTCTGCCCTTTTTCTCTCCCGGTCCTTTTGACTGCGCTCCCCCCCCCTCCTTTCGCCGGGAAGCAGCCATTGAGCTATCCGACGACCACAACAAAGCCGCTCCCTCGCTTCTCTCATCGGGGACGGTGGTGGTTGGTGGTGTCCTTATTTATGGGCCACTTTTGTGACCCGTGGTATAACAGCAAAGCCCAGCTGTTCCGTCTCTTTATGCTGCGGGGATCAGTGCATCTCCTGAAGGGGTACACATCTCGAGAGCAGAAAACCCGAAGCAGCGAGTTTATCTTTTCAGACCATAGTCCGGCTTCGCATGCCTCTCCAAGGGTAATAAGGAATCTAAGAAAACCAAGTATTTGCCCGTGCTTAGTTTCCTAAATCGGTTAATGTACACAAGTGAACATATTTGTCTATCGTTTCCCCTCCTCTCTGTATTAAGTCTCCTTGATGTGGAAAAGAAAAAACTGATCAAGTGTCTTTCTCCTTCAAATTTACCTCCTACTCCAAAGTCCATTTTGGATTACCTCTCCTACCTCTTAATACATTCTGATAGGTTTTGTTCAATGAAACATGACTGCTGATTCCAAGCCCATGGTGTACTTTTCCTCGTCTTTGGAATAACCTCCCTATAGAGATCCCTATGGCCCCCTCGCTGGGTATTTTTAAAAGTCAATTGAAAACCTGGCTGTTTAGGTGGGACTTCCCTCCAGGAACTACTTGATTTATTTTTTTTCTCTTTTTTTCCTATCTTGAATGATTGTTTATTTTTGTTGTAAATCACTGTTACTTTTAAATTTTTATTTACTTGCTGTCAGCAGCCCAGAGTAGTCTATGTTGTTATAAGTAAAATAAATAAATAAATAAATAAATAAATAAATTAAATAAATAAAGGTGAGTAAAATCAGGAAGATGCTCCATGAATTGGGTAGCAATCACTAGGAAATCTGCTCATTGAGATACACATTGCACACAACTAGCTGCTTTCTCTTCCTGGATCGCACCATGTTCATGGCAAATGAGCCATTTGACTTGTGGAACATTTGTTTCAGGTAGATTTGCAGACGAGTGTGATGTTAAATGTCATTATAATTGTAGAGAACAGCAATAGCTTTTTTCAAATATTAAAACTATTTGGTGTGTATGTCCACATTATTTATTTATTTATTTGATTTATATACCACCACCTGGCCCAAGGCCACGTTGGGTGGCTTACAACTACAAAAACAGTCACCAGACAATCTTACATTAAATTGACATCAAATTTCAAAATACTATAAAAGCAAACAGACCTATTCTAACATTATAAAATAAAATTCAGTAAGACATTTAATAAAATGTTTGAAATGGCAGTAATCAAATAGTTTAACGGCTGCTAGGTTCCCTGTGTTATGTTGATGGAACAGTCAGAAGACCTGTCTAAATAACTAAGTTTCTTAAACGTCACCAGCAGAAGGGGCCAGGTGAATAGTATCTGGCAGAAGTTGATTCCAGAAGTGAGTGGTGACCGCTGAGAAGGCCTGGTTCCTAGTTTTCTCTCCCTCCGAGCCTTTCCCAGGGTCATCATCCTCAGCTACCTGGCCTGGGATGCACAAGTTAGGACATAAGGCAAGTCTCAATAGTGTGGATATTTTGTTTTATTTTTTATCTAATATTCTCTCTTCTTTGCCCATAATGACACACCAGGCAGCAAACAATGATAAAACGCAAATAAAATGGAAGCAGTTAAAAACTTGGCTAGTTAGGCAGGCCTTCCCTCCAGTCAGCTAAGTCTTTTTAAAAAGCACAGAGAACAGCCAGGAGCTCAACAATTGGCTGAATGGTTTTTAAATTTGAGAATGGGCACAAATGAAGAGCCAGGAACAACCGTTATGTTGTGACACTAATAAAAGAGTGAGTGCTTTCAAATTTCATCTTTTACTTGTTGGGAGTCATAAAATATAAATAAATAAATAAATAAATAAGCACAGTTAAAAGGTAATATGTAAAAACCAGAGTTAAAACATAATGGCCAAAATTCTCTTGCATACTTACACGATGGTGTAACCTTTGGAGGGGAATTGTCACAAGTTACAAAACCACCATAGACATTATCGGTGTGCACTGACTTGCACAACTCAGTGTGCAACAGGTAATGTCTGGTGATTTCTTCACTTGGGAGAACTCTTACATTATTTGAATATGATGTACAGTATCTGATAGCTAGATAAGAGGATTTGGGCCAGTGCATAAAAACATAATAAACAAAAAAGGCTCACAAAAAGAAATAACATCACCCAACCAGCTAAAACCCATTAAAGGCAACCTGATTTAAATGCCAAGGGTCTGTCTGAAAAGAATCTTTAGCTGTCTTCTTCACACAGGAACACTAGTCATATGTTTGTTTCAGGGAGCACAGATCCTGCTGCTGTGATGCCTCTTTGGTTAAAAAAAAGATTCTAAAATAATGAAATTAAATTCAGTGAAGTAAAAGGGATTGTTTGACAGTGACTGAGTATGGACTATATGCTTGAAAATAAAAATGAATTGGAGAGTAGAATTTGGAACGGACAGTGATCCATTATTGTTAGCCGCCCAGATGGGCGGGGTATAAATAAAATAAATAAATCCCAAAGCTGGATGTATGCAGACTTCAAATTTGTATACTCATAGTCAATGCAGATTCAAAGTTCTAATGTTTAGTCTGTATTTTGTCCATTGATTGATTCAAACAACCAGCCTTCATCTGTAGTGGCTTTCCATACAGTCTGAAATCCTAATTTTTCAAGATGTGAAAGTCACTGATAAAGGATGTTGCTTTTAGAGGACGATATCTATGCACAGAGACTGATGGAAAATTCTGAGGAAGGGGACAAGATTATCATCCTTCCTCTGCTCCCATGTTTACTACACACAGAAACAGAACCTCTACATAGGGCTCGTGTTACTACTGGTTACCAGTTCAAGATTACATAAACAAATACTGTATACTGAAAATTGTATTACCTTAAGTGGCACATCTCTGTTTTCACTAGGCAATAAGGATGTTCCACTGTTCAATGAAGTGCTGATTGAGGATGTATGAAGCAACAACAAAGTATGGTGTGCTTTCAGAACATTTTGCCTTCCTAACATCACTGGTGTGGTAGCAACCAGACGGTTTTGGTGATATAAAAGCTCTTGTTCCAAAAATGCCAGTGGAATTAGAAGAAGAAAACTTCTTGCTCTGAAAAGCCTTAAAAAACAAAACCTGGCAAAACAGAAGTTTAATGGAAGACTTACAAATATAACCAGTTAAAGAATACGTAGAAGCATTATTTTAATGTTTTTGGGAAAGAGATTGGTAACTTTTTCTAGTTTTGAGAACACATCGCTGTGACCTGTTGATATCTGACAAAATTGTTCAACTCTTTTGGGAAAGTGTCTTAAAATAACACATAATTGCAAATGGTTAACATTAATTATAAATAGTAAATCAGGTCTATTGAACAACCAACTTGTGAATGTTTTATTCCATATATGGAAGAATTATGAAAGTATGAGGAAACAACTCAGTTCTTCTAACCATTAACATCATAATCATTACTATTATTAATATTCATGGGCAGAGCTCTGAGAACATTGGACTAAAACTCCCTGAAGTCATAACTGCTAGTTGTGCTGACCAGGTTTTCTGGGAGTTGTAGTCCAAGAACATCTGGGGACCCAAGGTTGGGAACCACTACTCTAGACTAGTAGTTCCCAACTTGGGGCTTCCAGATGTTGCACTCAATTCTCACCATCACCAGCCAACCTCACCAGTGGTCAGTGATTGTGGGAATTATTCCTCAACATCATCTGGGAATTTCAAGCCTACTGTACTATTCCCAGCACTGCTAGGCAAGTACAGTATACGTATGAAACTTACAAGGCAGGCGTGGAAACAATAATTCACGCCTTTGGGTTGACCTCCATCATGTGAAATACGGAGATATGCTGCTTCTTATTTTTGCTCGTTTCCCTTTTAAGTACCCTGGCAAATCACAGTTGAAATGGTTTCTTTAACTCTTTCAGGAATGTGTCTGAAAGTGACACATGTATGCACTGTCACCTTCACACATAGGTGATTAACCTTTCAGTGAGTAATGAATGATGTGTTGGAAATTGCAGATTAACTGCAAGGGAAAATGGGACTGCTGTTCTCAAAATTTCCTGCAGAAGGTAAACACCAGTATACTTGATTAGAACAAAAAAAGAAGCAAAGTGGAATGATAATCAAATATACCGTGTTTCCTCGAAAATAAAACAGGCTCTTATATTAATTTTTGCTCCAAAATTCATTAGGGCTTATTTTCAGGGGATGTTTTATTTTTATGTACAACATTCTACATTTATTCAAATCCAGTCATGTCATCTTCCGGTTGCTGCACAATGGTGGAGGGCAGGGTTTCACTTAACTGGGGCTTGTTTTTGGGGGTAGGGTTTATATTTCAGGCATCCCGAAAAATTATACAGTACCAGGGCTACTTTTCAGGTTATGTCTTATTTTCGGGGAAACGGTAAGTACAGGCAGATGGGCCAGCATCAGTAGATTGCTTTTACCACAGAGGACAAGATGTAGGCAATGTATGTTCCAGGAGGAAGGGGACTTTTTACACATTAAGCAGTACATATTTTAAAAGTAGAGGTGGAGAGAGGAGCATTGCTGCAACACGTTATGTTCAAGGTATGAGACATCTCTATCTTGATTGTGGTAAAGAACTGCAGGCCTGATATTTTAGTGGAATTTCCCCACTGAAAATACTCAAAGACCTTATCAACCAGTTGTGTTAGTAAAAGAGGAAGCAAGAACTTCAAAGCCCTGATGAGACTCAAAGGAGCCATACAAAAAGGACTGGCATGTAGAAATTCTAGCTGACGTGCTTGAACTTTAGTTTTTAAAGCTCCTTCTTTCACCCTTTGTGGACGGAGTCTTTTACAGTGGGGAATTAGTTTATGTAGTCATTCAAAAGCAACTTGATCCTTTTTGTTTTGATGAAACCAAGTAATTAAGTCAGCTATAAGTAGGAGTACTTAATATCTCTTATCTCTTGTGTGATAACAATATGCTGAATACCACATGGCTTTGAGAACTTAGCCCAGGAAATGGGATCTAAATGTAAGATACAAATAAATGAAGAAGATAATGAGGTCAAAAAAGAAATAGTCTCTTTAAGAAGAAATAGTTTACTGTAAGGCTAAAGACTATACATGATGGGGCCACAAAAGCTTACACCACAGTCAAATTGTTTGTCTTATACAGTACTGCTATACATGACTTTTCCTTGTGAGTTGCAGCCTTGACTGGCGTTTTCCAATATAGTACCCTCCAAATGTATTGGACTAAAACTCCTATCTTGCCTAGCAGCTATGGTGATGTTGGCTGGGGGTGCTGGAAATTGTATTCAACACACCTGAAGATTACCAAATTTGAGAACATTGGTCTGTGTATGAACCTGGGAGAGAAATCAGTTTAAACATTTTCCCATTAATGTGATAATTAAAAAATAATATATTAGCAAAGGGGGGAACCCTTAAAACGTGCCTACCATTCTTTCTAAAACTTAAATGCAAAAATAAACTTCAATTTTAATTTGATTGATTCCACTTGCATGCTGCCTTTCTCCCAGGTGGTGAGACTCAAGGTGGCCCAGAGATCATTAAAACAACCACTGAATGATAAAACAATAACATATGTTTTCATTTTGGAAAAGAAAGATAGCTTGTTCATAATTTTGAGCATTTGTGATTGACATTACTGCAAAAGAAGAGAAGAGGCTAGATTTAATACCTCTCACAAAAGCCAAGTAACTGCTCACTTGTTTTGCAGATCTCTTATCCACTCTTTTAAGTTCAGATTTTGGGCCAATTAGTGGTTTGATTTTTACCACTGACAAATTCAATATGATTTATTGTACAAAGCAGGACAATTCTGAACATTTTCTGTGGTCCTCGCAGCATGTATACCTAGTTACAATAGACTGTGTTGAGGGAAATATATGAGGAAGGGAATGTTTTTATAAGAAGCATTACAGAATTTGGCCGCAGTGACCCAGAATTAGGAAAATTTAAGCCCCTTGAAATGTATTTATTTAAAATATTATTAACCTGCTTTTCTCCTTAAATGGAATATATACACTCAAAATTCCCAATAATCTTAACCCTCTGTTAGATTTTTGTCTTTGCGTGTTGAAGTGAGAAGTTAGTAAATGTGTTAGAAAGCACAATAGAATGCATATATTGAAAATAAGATTTCTTACTTTCTGTAAACATTCCTTGGCAGCTCCAAGTGCTATCAATTTCACTGAAAAGTTTCCAGTGGCTTCTGAGTTCCTGCTCTGCATAAACAGGAGCTGTGCTAGAGTTCAGTGTAAACAAGGAACCTTTAGCAATCATAGCACACTGCCTGCATTGTGGGCAGATTCCACAAAGAGACGTTTCCTGGAGTGGCATAGGCATAAAACACTATGCCTTTAACACAGGAATGTGACAGTTCTTGGAATAAATATTTAGTAAATCATTGGTTCAGAAAGTAGGGGGAAAGCATGCTTTCTAAAATCAAGGATGAGTAGAAATATTTCAAATACACTCTTGTAGAAGAGAAGCAAGAAACGTGAGCTGAGTGCATGGAAAGATAGTAACAGTCATAAATTTTTGGGGATTTTCTTGGTTCCCCCTCCCCTACTGCTTGCAGAAATAAATTATATCTGGCCAGTTTTATCAGAAACAAACAATAACATGTATTGAATACCTGTGAAGTACCAAGTATAAATACCAATGCATAAGATGTTTCTAATGCAGGTCTGTTGCCAAAAATCTGTATGTTTCTGTATCTACTTACTTTGAGGCAGGTGGGGAAATATAGACTAATTTGTTTCCCAAAATGTTCACCCTTATAGTGCTGGATAATATTTATTTTGTCACCTTATATGTTATATTTTAATTACTGTAAATAGTATCCTTTAGCTGGCCATATGAACAGCAGGATTTATTAATATCAATGTTGTGATGACTGTTTTTAATATAGTGTATTATTATAATATTGCCTCTTTTTAATGTTTTTAAAGTTTTAATGTTGTTGTATACCACTCGGAGACCATTGGTAATGGTACGGCTAATTTTTGTGTGTGTAAATAAATACAGTAAATAAAATACCCAACCCGAACTTGTCGTAACTGCTAAAAATGAGAAACCATCTATCATTCATATATCATTTAAGTCCATGTTGGGTACTGTATTTTGTGTCGTCAAATGATTTGGTAAAATAAGTGTCAGATGATCACATTTTTGAACATTTATATTTTAGAGAGAGAGAGAGAGAGAGAGAGAGAGACTGTATTCAGCAGGTTTGAGATTTATACTAATTACGCAAACAGTTTATATTCATTTAACAATAAAACTATAGAATTATCAAATGGCAGAAATTAAAAGTCAACTTCTCATCTGGCATTCTTGGCTTCATAGAACAGAGAACTGCTGGATAGCTCAGTAGTTTAATTATTTTGCTCCGGTGCCAGCATTTGGGGGTTTGATCTCTCATTGTGCCCTCTTGACAAGGGCTAAACTCGGTGATCCATAGGTCCCTTCCAGCTCTGCCGTTCTAAAATTATTATTTTTATTATTTGATGATGATGATCAAATAACATATGGTCAGTTGGCAATATTTAATAGGTCAGTTGGTAAGCATGTTGACTAGAGGACAATCTTTGGCTTAAGTGATATCTGGAGCTGGGGCTGGCATTGATCAGAACTGGCATTACACTTTCTGAATTATTGAATTGATGCTGCTTTAAAGATAGATACTTACCGGGTAGATAAGGAATTTCCATTGGATTTAGTATAGTGAAATAAAAAGCACCTTCTGTGTTATTAAGACTGAACTTAACAGGAATTACTGAAAAATCTTGTACAGTACTGCTTTTGTATTCATAGAATGTATAATTTATTTCTGAATATATCATACAGAAATATTCAAGTACTGGGATTTCACTCTTTGTTTCCCTACTGCCTGTCCCACAGGAATCTTTGCTTATTTGAACTACAGAGTGCCCCGGACCAGAAAGGAAATATTTGAAACTCTCATAAAAGGACTACAAAGATTAGAATACAGGGGATATGACTCTGCAGGTATGTGCACTTCTTGTTGTGGTCCCTAATCCCCCCCCCCCAGTTACATCAGTACCTTGTTACTTTTTCCAACCAAGTGGTTCAGTAGCCTTATGGGGACAGAACTAGCTTTCCCCAAAGTTTTGTCCTCCAGATGTGCTTGATTACAACTCCATTTTACCCAGCCAGTTGAATACTATGTTCAGTGGGGCTAAACAGTAAGTTGTGGTCTATCTTTCAGGTGTTGCAGTCGATGGGAATAATATTGAAGATAAAGAAAGGAACATTAAGTTAGTAAAGAAAAGAGGGAAAGTAAAGGCTCTTGATGAGGAGTTGCAAAGTAAGTATAAAAATACTTTGGTATATTTATGGCTAAAGTGGTATGCAGATACAGTGGTGCCTCGCTTAACGAGTGCCTCAGCGATGGCCCCTATGGGGTTTTTTCGCTTTGCGAAGATCGCTAAGCGATTCGCTTAGCGATCTTCGCATAACGAAGCCGGGGAGAACAGCTGATCGGCGGTTCCAAAATGGCCGCCGGAAGGTCCGCGCCGCATTTTCGCACCCTGCCCTCGCTTAACGAGGGCGCGAAAATGGCGGCGCTATGAAGAAACATCGCTGAACGGTGAGTTTTCAAGCCATAGGAACGCATTGAACAAAGTTCAATGCGTTTCTATGGCTTTTTTTATTCCGTTTAGCGATGTTTCGCTATAGCGACGGTTAATCCGGAACGGATTAACCTCGCTATGCGAGGCACCACTGTACTAGTTAAACCCTAATGAGAGTGCATAGAAATGTGACCTTAGACGTAAAAAAAAAACCTTCCGTCTCCTGTTTGCCTGCCCTGTCTTCAAACCTTTTCTGAATACACCAGTCCAATAATCATTTTTACTGAAAACATAGAGACCTGTGTTGCAGCTACTACAGGTGATATATGTGCTGCAGCTTGTAAAATTATTGGGGCAGTTCATTTCCTTGTGTACCCACTCTTAGCAAACCTTGTTTTTTCAGATCTGTACTGTAAGCCATTTCTCTCCTATTGAAATGTTTTAGGAATGGAAGGAATATTGTCTTGCAGGAGGTAGAGGGATATAGAATTGGGTGGAGGCAGACCACAGTCCTTTCCGCGGGCACACTTAGGTGTGACCAAGTTTCTGATCAGAAACTAGTGTTAAAGGTAAAGTAAATCTTTCATTGCACTCATGTAACAATTCAACAGGAAAGCAATTAAAAGAGGCTTCTGTATATGTACAATGTAGATAGAAAGAACTGTGAGTAGACAGTTTGGAACACAGCTTTCCAGGAATCCTAATGAATTCCAGAATATAATTCTGAAGGCTATACTGTGGTGCATCAGCATCTTTTCCAGGGATGTTAGGAAGGTGTGAAAGCACGAGGAGAAGGGGATGACAGAGGATGAGATGGTTGGACAGTGTCATTGAAGTGACTAACATGAATTCGACCCAACTCCGGGAGGCATTGGAAGATAGGCGGGCCTGGCGTGCTCTGGTCCATGGGGTTACAAAGAGTCAGACACGACTAAACAACATACTGTAGTGCTGACAAACTGCTGTGAGAATCCAGCCTTCACTGACAGCTGTGCTGTGAGCCTTCACTTTGGAAGAAGTGGGACTTTGGTGGCCTGAATGAAGTGTCCAGGAGTGGGAAGAGGGTTGACAAATCTAAGTCCTGAGCTCCTTAACTTAACAGTAATTTCAGCAAGGAGGTGAACGACAGCCAAAAACTGTTCTATGGCATGATAGGCACTGGAATTATATAGTGTCTTACAACAAGATAAAAAGAGTGAACTGGCTTGATCATAATTAATCTTAATAGTGTAACACTTCAGGGAATGTGACTCTTTGGCCGGGTGTATTTATACCTAATTCTAGATTGATGGGTCTCATTTCATTTCCCATTATAAGGGTGGCTAACAAGGTTATAGGGCTAAATGCTAGCTCATGTGGGTTTTTTGTTTTGTTTCGTTTTGCTAAATCCAGGTGGAATTACAGGATCTCTATATTTGTATTTCTAGGTATCAGTAGGATGTCACAAACTACTGAGGATATCTCTTAAGTTCTTTTGTCTTGCAGCTTACCAATACCAGTTATTGCCGATTTGCTATCTAAAGTCCAGAAACCTTCTTTCCAGGTTGTGGAGGATATTGAATTTTTTAAATAGTAGATGCATGGTATTTTATATCTGGGAAAACATTATTAAAATTTTCCATTAATTAGCATTTCCATTGCTATAGTGCTTTCTTGATGGAATATGATTACTTCTTGATGGAATATGATTACGTGGGTGTTTGAAACATCATCTCAGCACTTGCCGGCTGTTGTTGTTGTTGTCCAAACTGTAACAAAGATAATGTGATCAGTCCAAAAGACTGCCAAACAGATTGGATGGACAAGTTGTCTACATTTAAAAATCTATATACATAGGAAGTTGAAACTTTGTTGATTAATTAAGACTGAATCATCATGATTATTTGACTAGAATTTGTTTATATGCATATTTTTTTTTCACCTACGCAGAACAAGATGGTTTAGACCTAAAGGCAGATTTTGAGACTCATTTTGGCATTGCTCACACCCGCTGGGCAACCCACGGAGCACCAAATGCAGTGAACAGTCATCCTCAACGGTCCGATAAAACTAATGGTATGTCTGTTTTTTTTAAAAAATAATATTCCCAAACAAACCAGTAAAAAATAAAAATGGGAGTTGTGTTTGAATGGAAATTCCCCCAGATAACTTTTGAAACCAGTCAACTACTTGTGTTTGAGAACATTCGTGAGCAAGATTTTTTTAAAAAAAGCCAACACATACGAATTGTGAGGATTTAGCAAGCTGTTATTTCAAAATTTAGTGTACTTGATAGTAAGAAATCTGAAGGTAATGATTCCAGAGTGGTCTTGCTTAATAGGCTTCCAGTCACAAATTTATTCAGATCAAAAATTTCAAAAAGGTTCTAATACTCTGTATTTTATAACCGAACATTGAGTGGTAAGAATCTATATGACTAGACCTGGCAAGAGTTGTATGGCTCAAAATTTAAATCTAAAACAGCAAAAAGATTGTTTTTCAAACATGTAAAATAACTGGAGCAGCATTTGTAGACCTTACAGCAACATGTGATACTGCCCACCATCAATTGCTGCTCAAAAGCCTCTTATCTCCTTAATAAATGTCATGGACTAACATAAATGGTTGCTATTCTTCTTCAAAACTGAAGATTCTTTGTTGAATTCCAGACACGGTAGTGTCCTGGTACCATTCCTTTTTAACATTTAAACAAATGATCAATCGACATTCCTATCGTTTAGGAGTTCCATCTATTATTATTTATTTATTTATTTATTGGACTTATATACCGCCCCATAGTGCTACAAGCACTTTCCGGGCAGTTTACAATTTTTAATTATACAGGCTACACATTGCCCCCCCAGCAAGCTGGGTACTCATTTTACCGACCTCGGAAGGATGGAAGGCTGAGTCAACCTTGAGCCGGCTCCCTGGGATTTGAGCCCCAGGTCGTGAGCACAGTTTTAGCTGCAGTACAGTGTTTTAACCACTGCGCCACGAGGCTCATCTATGCTGATGATCTTGCCTTGACAGTCTAGGAGTAAACTTTTGAAACCACTGAGAACTAGCTAACCTCTGCATTCGAAGATCTTTTGTATTATAAAAACAACCAGATGAAACCAAACCCTTTAAAACACATTTCTGTGCCTTTCACTTAACAAACAGAGAAACAGAAGGAGTCTCTGAGTTAGCTAGGGAGACAAGATTTTGGAACATTACCCCAAAGTATTTGGGTGTCATTATGGATTGAGCCCTATAAAAAATTGTCTAAACACCAAACAGAAAGCAGCCGCCAGAAATAATATACTTAGAAAACCGGCTGGGTCATACTGGGGTGCATGCCCACAAACAAGAACAGCAGCTTTGTCCCTGTGCTACTCCAAAGCAGAGGAACTAGTGCCGTATGGTAGAATTAAGCACATGCCAAACAAGTGGATGTAGCTCTTAATGAATCATGCAGGATTCTTACTGGCTACCTGCCTGTTGAAAAAGTCTATTATTTGGCTGGCATTGCCCCTCCAGAAGTACATCAATTGGTACTAGCAAATAATGAACTATATAAGGTAATACGGCACCAAATCTATCCACAACATGGATACCAGCTCCCTTGATGACGGCTGAAATAAAAGAGATGTTTTTGGACACATCTCAAGGTAAATATTAAACCAGAGCGGCTAGGCTAAACATATGGAAAATAAAAACAACACACCTTGCCAAATGGATGAATGCTGAAGAGTGTCTTCCACCAGGACAAGACTTGAGCTGGATCATCGGGAAGTCACTTAATAGACTTTAAAATGAAGTTGGAAGATTGAAGAATAAACAAATAAAATGGGGCTACTTTGCTACAGGACAAATTTTCTGTGACTGTCGAGAAATTCAGTCAGTACAAGCACTTGTGTGCATGCAGTTTATGTCCCACCACATGTACAAAAGAAGTTCTCAAATGCTTGAGATTACACTATTGAAATAGCCTGCTGGTGGTCAAAAATAGTCTAATTATCATAATATTTTAATCTTTTTAATTTTACCTATAATTCATATATGTCCATTATTTTAAATTTTGCACTACTTTGATACAAATAAAGAAAGAAACATGTGACATAGTTCCTAAAACAATAAAACAAAGGGGGAAAAACACTTCATACTAAAATTGGTATTTTAAAAATGTATAGCTTTCAACTACCCCCCAAATTAAAAATTTAAGACTTGCTCTTATGCCCCTTTTTGTTTTTGTTTTCTTATTGGTTCCTTTCAGAATTTGTTGTTATTCATAATGGAATCATAACAAACTACAAAGACCTCAGAAAGTTTCTGGTAAGTTGCTAATAACAGAATGATTTAAAACTATTACCTTGCCATTGCAGCTCTGTGTAATGCTTGGTATTCACACCTAGAGCTCTTTGTGAGAGTCTTTCTGTGACTTCCATTTCCCTCAACAGCATATAATAGAAATTAGCTTCAGACCCAACAGGTCTACATATAGTCAATGCCTGTCTCTTGCTCCTAGATAGGAATATGTATTGAGTGGAAGCATTTTGAATAGCTGATTAGGGGGTAATATAGTGCAGTTCCTGGCAGGAATTAGGAATTAGCCACATGACTGAATTGTTGCAAGGCACTTTTAATTTCATGCCGTTGAAATCGTAGAGTTAAATAAGGTATTTATACATAGCTTGATTATGATAGGTGGTAGGACAGTTGATAAGGGATGAGCAGCCTGTGGCCAAGGTGTGGATTCCCCGTCCAACCCTATGTGGGTTCTCCATCCATTCAAAAGACATTTAATAGTATATAAACTTTATAAATATGTGTAGAATTGATCCATAGTTTTGAGGTATGAGAGATGTTTTCATGGAGTTGAATGGTAACCCTAGTACTTACTGCTGTAGATATGAACATAATAGATCTGTGCTTTCCTTCACAGGAAAATCTATGAATTTGTAAGAATGGTATCTGTCCCTACTTTGCTTTGACCCTACTTACTATATCCTTGGCCCCACCCCTACCCTGTGCTGTTAGCCCCACTCACTATGTGTAATTTGGCCCTTAGGCCATTAAAAGTTCCTCACATCTGTAGTAGATTCCATTTAATCATGTTATACACAAATTAAAAGTCTGAGGGGAAAAAACTTTAATCTAACATTTTGTTTAAAATATTCCAGGAGACCAAAGGATATGTATTTGAATCAGAAACAGACACTGAAACTATTCCAAAGTTAATCAAGTATGTGTATGATAACAGAGATACTGAAGACATGAGTTTTTCTGCCTTGGTTGAGAGAGTTATTCAGCAGCTGGTGGGTGAGATATTTGATCTTTTTATTTCCTAGAACTGAAGATGTTTGAGACAATTTTTATGTTAGAAGTTGAAATTAATCTCTTTAGTTTTGTTTGGCTTCCTTATAAAGTAATGACTTTTCAATGTTTAGTTATATTTTGTCTTTTTTTTTTTAAAAAAAGGAAAGCAAAATATTGTTACTTGCCATGTGTCTGCAGGTTAAAGATGAAATATAAACCCATACATTAAACAGCAACATTTCTAGAAGCATTTATTGTTTTTGCCTTCAGAACCATCACACTAAAGGAACAGAATGCAGGCTTTCTGTTTGCAATTGTTCCTCTTCCTCCACCAGAGTTCACAAAGGAGAAGTACAATAAGATTGCCATATCTGCAGAATCAGTACCCGCGGTTTCATTCATCAACTGTTTGAAAATATTACATTTAACATCCCCCCCCCCCGAAATACACATTTCCAATGTATATTACCGGAACTAGCCTCTAGAGGGAGGCTGACAGACTATGCTCTATACAGTGGGGTCTCGACTTACGAACGACCCTACTTGCGAACAATTCAACTTACGAACCCGCCCTATAGGGGATATAAGGACTCGACATACGAACCCTTGAGTTACGAACAGGGGAAAAAGTGCCCCCTCCCTCCCCTTAGAGGCTTCTGGAGGGGAAAAAAGGGTCAGAAACTTAAAAATAAATAAAAGAAAGTCTCTTACCAGGCCTTGGTAGCCCCCGAACTGCAGGAAAAAGAACACCAAACAGCTAAAAGCCGACCCCCAGCAGGGAGCCTGGCAGCCATTTTGTGCTCTTCTCAGCTCCTGCCCCCTCCTTTCTCCGCCTAACAGCTGATCGGCTGGCTCTGAAGAGGCTTCCAGAGGCTTGCTCAGCACCTAAAAAGGCTGAGGTGTGAGTTCCAGACTCCTGCCTGTGTGTCTTTGTGCTGAAAAAATCAGCACAACATGCTTTAAAACATGCTTTAAAATTGGCTTCGTTGAAAAAAAAGATTTCAGAAGCGCTTTTAAAACTGTTCCCTGCCTCCCCCCTCCTTTCCTGAACTTTTCTTGACCTAAGGAAAAAAAGAAAAAATATCCCCCTCTAGTGGCAGAAGGCGGAATAGCAGCTTCCCATTAGTTTCTATGGACGGAAAAGAGCAGATACGGATTAAAT